TTCCTCTTGAGCAGTGAAAAGAGACTGTGGCTCCTCTCTGAGGACTTCAAATAAATCGACCTAAGGAGGCTATGTGCCATGTTAACCTTTGTACAACCTTGACATTATCAACGACCCTGATGTCTTCTATTACCTTGAATTTATCGGGGTTGATCTCGATCCCCCATTTGATACCATAAAGCCGAGGAACTTGCGCGAACTGACTCCGAATGTACATTTCTCCGGGTTGAGCTTCATGTTGTACTTTCTTAGTATGTCGAAGGTCTCCTGCAAATGATTTAAATGGTCCTCTGCTCGCAGGGACTTAACTAATATATCGTTAATATAAACCTCCATTGATTTACCTATTTGTTCTTCAAACATTCGATTTACTAGGCGTTGATAAGTACCGCCAACATTTTTCAGTCCAAATGGCATTACGTTATAACAATAGGTGCCGTATTTAGTGATGAGTGAAGTCTTTTCCTAATCCGTCGGGTTCATTTGCGTTTGATTGTACCCGGTGTAGGCATCGAGAAAGCTAAGGATCTCGTGTCCGGCCGTGGCATCGATCATTCCATTGATATTCGGCAAAGGAAAAGAATCTTTAGGCCATGCCTTGTTTAAATCCTTATAGTCTACGCACATTCTAAGTTTATTTCCCTTTTTAGTGACTACAACTACGTTTGCTAACCATTCGGGATATTTTACCTCCCGAATGGATGCTATATTGAGAAGTTTCGTTACCTCGTCCTTAGTGAATGCATGTTTGACCTCGGACTGGGGCATTCTCTTTGTTTTATCAGGCGAAACTTCAGGTCCAAGCTCAGTCGATGCGTAGTGATCTCCGGTGGGATACCTGTCATATCTAGGTGGGACCAAGAAAAACAATCCATGTTATCTAAAAGGAATTGAACGAGTTTTTCTTGAGCTTGGGGATTAACTCCATGCCCAAGTATACCTTTCGATCGGGCAGATGCTCGATTAGTATGATTTGTTCCAGCTCTTTGACCGTTGACTTCGTTGCATCAGAATCACCAGGAAATATGAAGGTTTGAGGTATCATATAATCATCATCCTCGAAAGTTTCCTGCTCCTCCGATCAGGTCGAGGCCGGTGACTGTGGTTGCTATTTGACTTCTTTCTTTCCCTTTGATTCCAATCCCTTTGTTGATGAAAGTGCCGATACCGTTACTACTTCATTGATTGCAAACATTTCTTTGGCACCAGGTTGTTCACCGTACACCGTTTTGATTCCTTCGGGTGTTGGGAATTTTAGGACATGATGAAGCGTCGAGGGCACTGCCCTCATGTTAAGAATCCAAGGCCTTTTGAGCAGCGCGTTGTACCTCATGTCACCTTCGATCACATGGAACTTTGTTTCTTGGATAGTCCCGGCCATATTTACTAGCAAAAAGATTTTCCCTTTGGTGGTTTCACTTGCCATGTTGAAGCCGTTAAGTACTCGAGCTACGGGCACGATTTGATCTTGGAGGCCGAGTTGCTCTACGACCCTTGATCGAATAATGTTTGCCGAGCTACCTGGATCAATCAACACACGTTTAGCTTGAATTTAATTCATAATTATAGATATTACCAATGCGTCGTCGTGAGGTTGTTCGATCCTTCTGCATCCTCGTCGTTGAAAGACAAAGTTTCTTCTGGTACGTAGTCCCGATTTTGCCTTTCCCTTGTGATTGTCACCGTGGTGCGTTTAAATACATGTCCTTGAGGAATATCGACTCCTCCAACGATCATGTGAATCATATGTTGTGGCTCTTCCTGCTCATTCTGTCTGTTTGAATCTCTATTTTTGAAGTGGTTCTTGGCTCGATCACACAAGAATTCTTGAAGGTGACCCTCGTTGAATAGACGAGCTACCTCCTCCCTCAACTGTCTGCAGTCTCCGGTTCTATGACCATGGGTACCATGGTATTTGCATACTTGATTAGGGTTCCTTCGAGCTAGATTGGTCTGTAAGGGTCTGGGCCATCTAGTATCCTTGATCCGTCCAATTGCTAATACAATACCCGGCGCATCGATGTTGAAGTTGTATTTTGATAGTCGCGGTGCTTCTATGGGCTGGACATGTTTATCGAAGCCACTTTTATTCATGAGCCCTCGAGAGCTCAGTCATCGATCGTTCCTTCGATCATTTCGAACGGCATTACGTCCTGGGCTGGTGTTTCTATGATCCGCGTTGTATGGTTGGTAGCGATCTCTGTTCGATCGGGGTTCTCTATCAATGTCCCTTTGAATTCTGCCGACGGGCCTATTTGGGTAAACGGAACCGGAAGGGGTTCCCAATTGATCATCCTCAACCCTGATCTTCGACTGGTATCGATTATGTACATCGTCCCAGGTCACAGCTGGATATTCAATTAAATTCTGCTTTAGTTGTCGTTCAAACCTTGAGTAAAAGCTTGAACAGCCAATCATCTGTTACCGGGGGTAGGTCCATGCGTTCCATCTAGAAATGAGATATGAATTCCCTTAGCGTTTCGTTGTCCTTTTGTCTCACTTTGAAGAAGTCTGACTTCCTAGTCACAACCTTTATTGCTCCGGCATGTGCCTTTACGAAGGAATCTGTAAGCATGGCGAAGGAATCAATGGAATTGGGCGGAAAATTGTGGTACCATATCATCGCCCCTTTCGATAAAGTTTCTCCAAAACTTTTTCAATAGAAGGGATTCAATCTCATCGTCTTCTAAATCATTCCCATTTATTACGCATGTATAAGAAGTAACATGCTCATTAAGGTCAGTGGTCCCATTGTATTTGGGAATTTTTGGCATGTAGAATTTCTTTGGGATGGGCTTAGGAGCCGCTTGGAGGGAAAGGCTTCTGCGTGATTTTCTTCGATTCCAAACCCTTCAGAATCGGTGGTGCCCCCGATATTTGGTCAACCCGGGAGTTGTATGTTTCTACCTTTTTATCATTTCCCTCGATTTTCTTTTCTCCTAATTCAATCCGTTTAGTGAGCTCATCGAGCATTTTCAAAATGGCAGGGTCAGTCCCCGAGTCATTGGCGTTCGATCTCTCCGGTATAGGTTCGGCGCTAGAACAACTTCTGGTTCGATCCCACTTGGTGCTCGATGCTGATTCAGTAGTTGTGTTATAGTGGCTTGCTAAGCCTGTAGCATTTCAAATATCAATTGGAGGCTGACTCCACCGTCTTTTCCGCCCTGTGTACCTCAACCACCTGATCGAACTTCCCTGCGTATGATACCTTCAGGATCAACGCCCATATTTTCATTTAGGGCGACATGCGAATTGACATCGACGAGACCTGCAATTGGTACTCCATCGAGGCTAGCCTGAGGCACTTTAATCCTTGGGGCGGCTACATTGTCGTTTTCTCTATGGAAACCGAGGCCGTTGTCGGCGTGAGTGGGTACTGCTTGCGAGTTAGACATGTTGATCCTGAAATAAAAAACACTCACAAGAACAAGCGTAAAGTAGTGTGTCTTATGAGAATTAATACCAGGTAATCACTATTATCCTTAGCTCCACGGTGGGTGCCAAACTGTTTACCCTTTAAATTGGATAACAATTATACTTATAATGTGGTTTTAAGGACACGTGATTTCACCTAATACCAATTGATAAATATAAAGATTAGTGATGGAAATTAACAATAAGATAAAAAAATCAGTGTTGAAACGTAATTCAGCCCTCAAGCTAGAGTGCCCTCGAACTGGTCGGAACCAAAACAATTAAGAAATAAGCAAGCTGATGAACAAGAATATGAGCTAAAGAGAAAGTGTTATATTGCTTTGATATGTGTGAATCCAAGTGCCTTACAAATGTTTGGAATTCCTCTTTATATAGTAAAGGAATTCTAATTATGGTATTACTCTAATTACAGAAGGAAATCCATGATTAGCTAATTAGCCGTCCTTGATTTGATCCGTTCCGAGATTTCCGCCATGATCTTCGACCAGTCACGGGTATCTTACCTTTCTGTTATTATGCTACCTTCGATCTTGCTCGATGTCTGTCTCATTCAGCCTCAATCATTACCGGTCTCAATCTTGACAAGTGCCTCGAATCTTCGAACTCGGTACCTTGTCCTCGTGCCTCGGTCTGATCTATTATGAGATCAATCTTCGATCCTTCACACCGGTCACGATAAATCAGTAAAATCAGGTGGGACCGATTTTAACCGTATACAACCAACAATTAGTATTTGATCAAACTTTTAAAAAGTGCGTCGAAATGTATTTAAAAGCATTGTTGCACCCTATTTTGTATTTTTAGGGAGAAGCTTCTCTTTTAGCTTATCAAAAAAAGCTTCTGCTTATACTCAATAGCACCTTTTCATGTCTTTTTTTTTTATGGAATAACACTATTTTGGAAAAAAAAGAAAAGAAGAAGAAGCACTTTTGGCCTTAGAGAAGTTTGGACAAATAGGTTATTAGACCTTTGAAGCATATCCCACCAATCAACAATAAAAACAACAATCACAATACAACAACAACAACGACGGCGACGACGACCCAGTAAAAAGAACTAATCAAAATAACCGTTCACTCAACCACTTAAATTAAAAATAAGTAATGGATGTATAATAAATATATAATTCATGTAAAATATGTATATTACCATATGTAATCAGTATATAATTTTTGTATATCGAATAGGAAAAATAAAGAATGAATGCAGCCTACTATTTGGGTAAAGCTCCCTATTATTGTCACGCTGTGTGTTACTTTTGGAATTCCCTTGTCTTCCTAGAGTCAATATTCATTTAAATTTAATCTCACTTCTTGAATAGCTCCTTCTTTTAATTTGGATGACAGAGAACTATGAGAAGAATTTATCAGAAATTACAAGACTAAAGATTGTGTTTGGTGTTAAAGTATATTGTTATCTCGTTTTATAATTCCTTTCATTCAAATCAAAAACTAATTAAAAATAGCTCAATATAATCAGCACAACTAATTAATGATTCTACTCTTTACAAGATCCTTTCTCATCTTAATCCCAATGCAAAAGAAAAATAGAAAGAAAGATCAATATAAAGAAGAGAAGAATTATAATTTATTTTCCAAAAGCATGCCTCTCCATTTAGAAGTTACATTCTACATTTTGTTTCACTTCTCTAGCCCCTCCTGTTTCTCATTTTCTTCTGTATTTGTTGCTCAAATTTACATTGTTTACATTGTATCTCTTCTGGGATTTATGTGATTTTCCATTTCCTCATTCCCATTCTCATCAACGCGACGATTTTCAAGAAACTTGACAGACAGTGTCAAGAATTTTTGGAAAAAATGCACGATAATATTATGCGACTTCTATATTTGCTGGTTTTACAGTTCCTTCAACAAATTTAGCCCTGGATTTTGCTGCTCTTGAAGATTTCGACGAAGAAGATGAACTAGAATTTGGAGAGGAAGTTCCCTTGGATTTCCTCCTCTTCTGCTTCTTAGTATGAACATGAACCTTCTTATTAGGTGGACTGTCCTTGTAAATCTCAGATGTTGAATGCCCTCTATTTGTCTCTCCAACTCCTTTCAAACATATAAATAACAAACAAGACTAAATGATTTTAACTTCTATATACGGATATTAGGTCACCTAAAAGAATAATTACACGTAATTGTCCATTGTAAGTCGAATTAGTAACTTAGAAAATAAGGCAGATAACCTGCTTCAACATGCTTTAGTTTGTTGTACAGAAAGAATATGCCCTGTTAGTTGTTTCTTTTTCTTTTCCTAACTAAAGAAACTTCTTTGGTGTTTATCTCCAAAAATATACTTTGATCTAGTAGAACTTGTCACTTTCTTGTCTTTTCCCCATAAATATAGCTTTCCAAACATATTATATTTGAAATTTGATTAGCTTAGCTTCAAAAAGGGTAGCCCGATGCACATGGCAGCTCACGTTCGATCCGGGGAAGGGCCACACCCAAAGGGTGTGATGCAAACAGTCTAACCTAAATACAAGTATTAGTGACTACTTCCACGACAAAATGAACTTATTACAAAAGCTTAATCATGATAAGAGCTCATATTATAGGTTAATAATATTGCTCTTGACTTAGATAATTCGGGCTGAAATATAATTAACAATCTTTGCTAAAAATAATATTGACAAAATGACACTATCTAGTCGCGCTTAAAATAATGGCCGAAAAATGTATATTTTTTGTATATATGTATATGTTATATACAAATTTTACATATTTTTGTGGCTAGCGAATATAAATAATTTCGATCGGGGGCTATAAGTAATATTTGCCTAAAAATATTGCCTACCAACCAACAATTTGTTTAGACAAATAGACCAGAAAAACTGTCCCTTGCTAGGGCCTAGTTAGACATCTCGTGAAGGATGAGCCAAAAAAATTTCCCTATCTTAAGGCAAAGAATCTTACAGAAAAAGAAGAATAAAAATAAAAGCCTTCCCATTCTTTCAAATATAATAATTTTGTCCTTATAATCCAACAAAAAATAGGACAAGCTTATCAATTTTCATTCCACATCTCAACCCGTGAAGAAAGCCTATTTGCCACTGTCTGATTAGGATAGCACATGATCAAAAGCGATAGATCAAATACTCTGTTCGTACTTTTTCCTTCTTTCCCTATCCTAACAATAAATTTACTCGCAAACAATCGATATATACACTAAATCAAGAAATTTACCTTAAAAGTACAAATTAAAGTATGTATAACTGTACAAGTTTATATGCAAGACATATGCATTAAATTCATTGATTTGGTACAAACGCATAATATTGTGATAATTAAGTGTTGGTTTGTTGCATGGAATTTTGTGTCTCACGGAGGCACAAAACAGAAAAAAAAAATGTTTCTTAGAAGCATTGTCACATATGAAACAACAGACGGCATAAATTTAGCAACCCTTTTTTCGCCGGATCCATTGTAAGAAAGGGAAAATGTGCAATTTTGAATTATCAATTATATCCTTTATGAAAATGGCAAACCGATTCGTTGAATTTCTGACACAAGTATTCAATTAGATCGGATGGTTACCTTGAGATGTCCATGGAGAAAGGGCAGAACCAGAATGACCAATAGAAGCTGCTGCAAAATCAGGCCCTTTCTTGAATTGATTCATCTACATTTGCACAACCAAAACCAAACAATAAAATGTTAGTTTTAATAAAATGGACATTCAACTTATCTCAACCCTAAAAAGGTAACTTCTGAGGTAAAATTTGCCCTAATTCATATAGAAAATAACAGTTCATTCCCTCATCCAAGGTGGAACAATCTAACATACACACCTTGAACGTCCAAGGCCGAACATCTAGAGGGAGGACGATATAGCATGGAGTCCCAACATTGGGGAAACAAAGAATAGGAACATATCTGATTCTGATATCGCGCTTAAAAATGTACATCGGATCTAGCTCAATTGTAAAAATAAATTATTTATTGAAAATTATCCTAAATTATATAAGGAGACAACCGTCAATTCCCTCGAAAAATACGGACAATCAAATAGTTATGCACGGAAAACCTTTCTTACAAAAAATGATGAAATTGCAGATGTGCAAATAAAAATTTGTGGACCAAATAAACATGGTGCAGAAGCAGAGAACATACCCAACTTGGTGCATTGCCAGAGGGGCCATCCCAACCAATATGTGCCACGTGTTTAACATCAGTTGGACATCCAATCTCCAACTCCCTCTCCTTTGTTGCTGTAATCACAAAACCATTTTACTATCAGCCTAAAAAACACACTTAAAAAAATATATTTAATCCTAGATAATGGAAAATTAGGCATTTACCAAATATATTAGATATATATTTGAATCCTTTGAAGATCCCCTTCATCTTGTTTCCCATGGAAGAGACTATAATAGCCCAAGTCAAAAACTTGTGAAATGAACATAGCAAAGAGGTAAGCACCACAAAAATGTCAAGAAATAATTCCCTAGCCTAACCAAAAGGCAAACACATTGAACAAATTACAAAATTATACATTTTCATGACATATATATATACAGAATTCAGAATCTAACCATGGTGGTCTCCGAATAATTTGTCCATCTTAAAAAATTAACGTAAAAATTAAATTCTGAATCCGCCGCTAAATTCCTAACCTTCCATGGTTTTTTTCTCTTTTCTTTATTTCCTTATTTGGAGGAGATGGAGTGGAGTTAATTGGGTAAAAAGTAGAAAAGAAAAAGAAAAAGGAAAAAAAAGAAGATAAAATGGAAATTATAATACCTTATTAGAGCAATACTGATACCATACACGAAGATGGGACAAGAAAAAGGAAAGCTAATTCTCCTTCTTTTGCCGCTGCATTTTCCATTATCTTCCTCCAAATAATTTTAATATATAAATGCAATAAGCATTCATGCAAATAAGCCAGTTAAAGGTAAAGGCAAGCTAATTAATCCATCCAAAATGGAAAACAAAATGTGAGAGTGGAATATGAGAAATTAAACGAAAATGTTATTCTTTCTTCTTCTTTTTTGTTTGAATGGAGGATGAAGATAGTTTTGTATAGATATTCAGAAGAGGAAGAAAGGGATAAAGGAGGGGAAGAACAAATTAGAAAAAGAAAGGAAAAGAGAAAGGATGAGAAATAGAGAGGTGGCCAACCACGAAAAGATCCCAAAAAAGAAAGGTTGGAAGATACTAATAATGCACCCAAGACTGGGTATATTTAAATACAGAATTAATGTATTAAAAATATTCCTCTCCATAAAATTTTCTATAGTATAGTTTTTCCCAATTTGACATTTTTGACACTCTAACCTCTATAAGTCATTTTTTAGATATTGTCACGTATTATAGGTATTGCATAGTGCTTATATTCATCAATAAACAAATTCTTTAATCAAGCCATCATGTTTTAACTCCCTCTGAAGCCTTCTGACGGTTGATTAAATGCACGTCTCTCCGCATTTATGCCTCGAACACGCGTCATCCCACAATTCAGCACAACTTTTGCCGATTATCGAGGTAATCATGGCCATTAATATAGCCGCCAAAATTTTACTTATACGCATCATCTTTCTCCTATGCACTTCATAATTTCTCGAGCTTCTGACTTGCATCTTTGTTCTCCATCTTTTCTCTGATTCTACTCAAACAAAAACCCTTTTCCTTCTTCTTCAAAATGCGCTGGTTCTTCAAAGAGCAAGAACAAAGCTGAAGACTCGGCTCCTCCAACGGTGGGTTCCATCATCCCTAGAAGTCTTAACACCACAAAAGACTTCAAAGAAAAACTCCCTACTGCTAACCCTCGTACATGGGCTGTTAGTAGGTATCCTTCCATTGGTCCTTCCAGTATTCCTACTGTGAAGGAAGATTGCCGCTGCCATGGGTTAGATATTATTGCTCCTGATCTATCGGAGCGAGTGACCCTTCCCAATGAGGGTTTTACATATTTTTACACATATCCCTTTACTTTGGGTGCATTTTCTTTGAGTGGAGAGCTAGACTCAGTGATTGCGGAGTTTTGCCTCTGCTACCAAATATGTTTGGCACAAGTAAGTCCTTCTATGTGGAGGACGGTTGCCTGCCTTCGACGCTTGTGCCAGGAGACTGGAGAAGAGCTAACCTTAGCTCATATGATGAATCTCTACCCTCCCAAGATTTTCCGTAGGGGAATGATAAAACTCTGCAAACGTGGCCACCATGCTCTGTTGACCAGCATGGATGATGATAACGACCGTGGGTGAATGAAGCGGTTCGTTGCAGTTGCCACCAATAGAATCATTCCGACAATGGCTTCATCCTTTTTGTTCGCTTGGAATCGCACTCGTAAGATTTATCAATCAATATTTCCCTTTACTAAATATTCCTTTGTGGCCGTATTGACTTTTCATCCCGTTACATGTTTCAGCAACTCGATGGGTCCCTCCGGTGGTGGAAGGCTTGGACCGGTGGGTCCAGAAGATCTTGGATGTTACGACGCCCGAAACTCGTTTGTGGAAAGTACTGGCTTAAATATGGGTGGAAAGCCAAAACTCATGGTAATTTGAACTTACCTAGTATCTATTTTTTATGTGAAGCTTGGTTGAACCCTTCTGACTTGTTCATTAAATTAGGTCTACCCGCGGGCTCTGTTGCTCTCCCCGATGAGGATGTTTTGGCTAATCCTACTGATGCAGCAAGGCTGTTTTAGGAGGCGCTTACTCAAGCAGGTGTCTCCAGACCTGCTTTGGGCACATGTATTTTATTATGGAGTCCCCGGCCGGAGAACAAGCAACCAAAAAGAAGGCGTTCTTCTGTGGCCAGGAAAAAGAATAAGAGGGCGATGACTATTGCCCTTGAGTCGTCTCTGGAAATCACTAGCCCTCCTCCGGGGCCGGTCATAGACACCGTGGTGGTCGACGATGATGGAGAAGCCAGTGATGATGGGGCTTCTCTACATAGAAGGCGGCGTTCATCATCAACTCAACATAATGCTTAGTCTGTTGAGTTAACTATTCCAACCGAGGATGACGTCTCGGCGAAATGGAGGGAGTTTGATTTGGTAGAAAATGCCAACTCATGTTATCAGGCACCAACTGCTGTGCCCGGTTTTGCGGGGCTGATTACCGAGTCCCTGGCGTCTTTGGTTGGCGAGCATCAATTTACTAGCATTGCATTTGGTCCAACTGCTTCGCACCCTTCAACTCCATCAGCTTCATCCCCATCTTCATTAGGACCAGCAACTGCTATATCATTTCCATCTTCATCCACTTTACCACCAGCAATTGCTACAACATCTCCACCGACCGCACCTGATGACAGAGGAGATATTCCTCCTCCCCAGTCCCCAGTTCATGGGAATCTGGGGAAAAATTATGCTGCTCCTTCTGAAGATCCTCATCGGACGAGGAATGTTACCTTTTCGGTCTCTACCAGGTGCAACCTGCTTTCCCGGCCGGTAGAGCTTGCTAATCTGAAGCCTTTGGCTTCAGAGAAAGATTGGGAAAAGGTTAGGGCACTCACGGGAGAGTGCCTGTTTAATAATGCTATGCACAATGCCGCAGCGATACGCTCCTTTCTTCCTTTGTTATTTCTTATATTTTTATATGAATGTATTCTGAGTTTCATCTTCTTGTTTTATTGGCAAATTTTCTTGGTTTCGAGGGCCTTCAACGGTTGATTCGTGATAAGGAAGAACTCACTTCCGCTCGGGATTAGCTTTTGGCAGAGCAGGAGCAAAGTACCGCTCGCCTCTCGGAATTGGAAGCCAAGGCTGCTGAAGCTGTTGTATTGGAGGCTCGTTTGCAGCAAAGTGAACAAGAGGTGGTAACCCTTAGCCAAGAAATTGGCTTACTGAGGGTTAGATTTGATGAAGCCAAGGCCAAACGGGCTGAAGTCCATGACGTCATTCTTGCTGCAACCGAGTGCGAGGTTGCCACTGCTGAAAAAGTGACTGACCTAGAGGAAGCCTTGAACTCCAAAATCAAAGAGTGTCATGACCCAATTTCCCTCCATAGGATGTCGTGACGACACCTAGTCTCTAAGACTAGGTAAGCCAAACAATTGCGGAAAAGAACGGAAACAACGACTAATACCTCAACATCAACAGATATATATATATATATATATATATATATATATATATATATATATATATATATATAAAACTGAAAACTGCTGCCCGACATGTACAAGTAAAATTTGCAACTGAGAGAAGAAACAACTCCCAAAACCCGGTAGTTACAAGTCACAGACTTTAAGGAAGTTCTAAATGTCTGTATACATCACCATCTAAGAGAATAAGAAAGACAACATAATAAGGATAGAGGGGACTCCGAGGTCAGCAGACGCTTGCAGGTATACTTTGAAGTCTCCAAGCAGCAGCACACTCTACTATCGAGGCTGGTAAGATGTACCTGGGTCTGCACAAAAACATGTGCAGAAGCGTAGTATGAGTACACCACAATGCTACCCAGTTAGTGCCAAGCCTAACCTTGGTAGAGTAGTGACGAGGTCAGGTCAGAGCCCTACTGGAATATAAGATATAAGGCAGAAGGTTAAATGATAACAATAATGGCAGGTTAATGAACAATAAGAATGTACGGAAAAATAACAGCACGGAAAAACAAGAAGAAATTACAACACGTAAGGAAAAGAAACATCTTACAAGTTAAGGAACAATAACAACAACAAACAACACAGCAAAAAGAGGAAATCAATAGGGGCGCTCCCGAGGTACTGCCTCGTAGTCCCAAAAGTAAATATCTCACAACGCCACGACAGAAACCTCGTGCCACAATCTCACTCCGCATGGAAGAAACCTCATGACAAATCACACTCCGCATAGAAGAAACCTCATGCCAATCACACTCTGCACGGAAGAAAGCTCGTGCCAATAACACTCCGCGCGGAAGAAAGCTCGTGCCAATAACACTCCGCACGGAAGAAACCTTATGCCAATAACACTTTGCACAGAAGAAAACTCATGCCAACAACACTCTGCACGGAAGAAACCTCGTGCAAACAACACTCCGCACGGAAGAAACCTTGTGCCACAACAAAACAGTCATCACAACAAGAATCACGAAAGTCAACATGTAATAACTACAACAATGATATTACAAGCAAGGAAATCCTACAGTTAAAGAACAAATACAGAATCAAGGAAAAATAGGTAATTTAACTAAGCAGGTTATACAAATTGCAACTAAGAGATGAAACACGTAGACATGTGAAATTTGGCTAAACATGAAGACTACACGTTCTACAATAACTCATTTAAGATATAAAAAGGAAACTACATAGCAAGGATCGGGTTTTTTAATATTTAGCCCGTGTATGCACTCGTTACCTCGCGTACACATCACTCACATATCACAAATTATTACAACAGTGCCAAATCCTAAAAGGATTTCCCCCACACAAGGTTAGATAAGTTACTTACCTCAAACCAAGCTCAATCAGTCAATAAGAATGCCTTTCCCCTCGACTGTCTAACTCCGAACGGCCCAAATCTAGACAAAAGCAATTACATACTATAAATATAACTATAAGAAACTAATCTAATTAATGAAATCATGAATTTAACAAAAAATTAGAAAATCGGCCCAAAAAGTCGACCCCGAACATGCGTTCAACCACGAATTCACCCATACCAAAATTACTCAAATCTGATACCAAAATCTCGATCAAAACCTCAAAATTTTATCTAAGAACTTTCCTCCATTTCCACCCCAAATCACTAATTTAATGATGAAATCAAATGCATAATCATGGAAATTAACCAAAACAAGGTAAGAATCACTTACCCCAAACACCCACGTGAAAATCTCTCCAAGAATCGCCTCCCAACGAGCTCCCAAATCAATTTTTGTGTTATGAATTTAAACCCTCGTTTTTGAACATTTAAATCTGCCAGATGTTTTCCTTCTTTGCGAACACGGTAGCTTCCTCGCGTTCGCGAAGCACAAAAATGCTATTGCCCCAAAAACCTCTTGCACGAACGCGAGGGCCTAATCAGAAACGCGATGTTCACTGCCCCAGGACTTTGCGTACGTGGAGCCTCACACGCGAACGCGTAGGCCAAGCGTGAGGTCTGCCCGTCTGCCACTCTTCTTGGCGAACGTGTGGGATCACTCGCGAATGCGAAGAGCATTCCTCACCTGCCACCCAGAACCCCTTCGCGAATGTGAGGCTCCTCTCGCGAAC